TAGTTCAATATAAACAAAGTAAATATTGTCCATATTAAATATTTATATAAGTATGTATTTTGTAAATAATAAACTAAATTAAAAAAAAAGTCAAATTAAATTTAATACATTTTCTTGAGTTAAATTATTTATTTCTACTATTTCAGTCAAATATTAGCGACATATTGTGGATAGGAACAGTGGCGACCTGTAGAAATGATGAAAAATTCTTCAAATTAGATATAATTGATATTATGAATTTAATAGTGCGTGCTTTTTACAGAAATTTAATACTGGAAGGTAGGACCGTGCAAAGAGTTTTTGGGGTCCTAGGGTAAAGGTAAAGATAGGTCTTATCTGTCCGTAAATTTCGTATTAACAAAACTTTAAAGAGTTTAGAAAATAACAAAAAAGAGTATAACGAAATTTTTTATAAACTTTACGGTATAATTAAAATTTTCATAAATCAAAAACTTTTCTCTATCCAACTATTGATTAAGGAATCAAAATTATAGTCTATAATTATTTGATTTTCAATAGAAAACATTGCACAACCGTTTAGCCTTTCTTGCCTCATTGTAGAGCGTAAAATGATTTTGTAAATTTTAATTTACTCTCTGAAACTTCTTTTAGCCTAACATTTGTAGGTAGAGTGAAATATATTCGTAAAGCTATGACTATATTTAGGAATATTTCTTCCAGATTATTTTTTATTATATAAAGTAATAATTTTTTTTTGCTTGCTGATTTCTTCTGGAGCCTCTTAGCACTGGGGTTCTGCGAAGCACTCTCAGTACTCCTCTTTGTACGGTCCTGCTGGAAGCTAGTGATTAATATTCAAAATAAGGAATTTTCAGTATTAAAACGGATTTTTGTATAGTTATTTGTGCTATATTCTAATACAGAGTGTTTACTATCTGGAAAAACCTGAAGAACTTGAAATTATCAGATTTTTTTTTCTATCCTTGAAAATCAGGTATTCTCATGCTATTTTATCGGGACTCGGGTAAATTTTACTTTTAAATTAAATTTAAATTCTTTCTTTTTCTGAAAGCATTGCTTCTTTGATTTTTTTACTCGATAATACAAAATGTCGATAATTAGTTAGCAATGAATATGACATATATATTTGCGTATATTCACGTATTTTCGTGCATTTCGTAAGTTTTTATATAAAAAAAAATTATAAGGTAACGGTGGAAGACTCTCGGCAGAATAGAGTAATTCACTGATTACATTTTAATGTGCTTTCCCTACATTATCCTATAGATTTTGCGGCTTTCATTGTATATTTAATACAATGAGAAAAAAATGTACTAAATTTTAATAAATAATTATTTGATTAGTACTAATATAATATTTATTTACGGAAAAGAAATATTTACTAAATAAAAAATAATAATAGTTAAAAATTAAACTAATAGTTTTTGTACCAAATAAATATATGTTTACATTTAGTAAGTATTTAACTAGCACTATTTAACCAAATATTTATTAATTCTCTAAATCTGAATTAGTGGATAATCACTGACATCAGTGCCACTGGTAATCAGTGAATTAAATGTAAGATTCCTAACCTAGCTAATCTTTATTACGTGATCTAACTAATCTTGTTTTGTGCTTAAATTCAATGAATATGATATTGGAAGATTGAAATTAACATGCTTATCAGTATTTTAGTTAATGCTTAAACATTCTTCCTTTTTTAGTTGAACTTCATTGATTATCAGTGCCAAGTATACCACTGGGTAATTAGTGACTATTCACTGATTCAGATTTAGATAGAAAATTTAGAACATTTTACTCTCAGAGAGTGTGTAGATATATTCAAAACTGTATCTATTATGAAATTCCTATCTTCTACTAATTTTCAATATATACTTTATTTACGATGCTCTAAAAAATTCTCTAATCTGATCTGGAATTTTGAACAAAAATACTTTGAAAAAATCCGGGAATTATTACAAGGGAGAAAAAAATTAGAGAATTTTTTTACAAGATTTTAGTAAACAATATAATTGAAGGTTTCGTATACTACGTAGGTGTATTCGCAGTCGATGATAAAGACGAATTGCACAACGAATATTCTGTGACATGTAAAAATATCGGAATGCAGTTTAGGCGTCAGAGCATAATTTATAAATTATCAGAGAAAATTATTTGAATTTATAATCTTTTGCTGTCATGATTCATCCTTCGTGCAGCAATGATTTGCGTACAAGGAAAGCTCTTTCATTTAAGTTGGGAATTTAGTTGTACGAAACTATTAGTTCTACAAAGCTATTGCAATTTCCTCCTGCCGATATACAGTGGTGATATTTCACACCGACGTAGAATTCTCTTGCTATAGATTTCTCTTATCCTCATCGGCATTATCGATTTTTTAACGGTGGTATATCGAAGTGTGGGAGGTCATTTATACGTAAAGGTTAGACTTTATATACGGGGTCACGAAATACCGAAAACGCTGGAAAAAAATTGTTTTTTTTTTTATTGCAACGAAGAAACTTATTAATTATTTTTTGAATCTTTTTCTCATATCCGTAACAGTAAATTGAAGTGTCCTTCAAGCTTTCTATGTTCCCGACACTCCTGCAATTCCTCCCTCATTTCGACCCCTGCGCATATCTTGCTGATCTTCATCGGTTCTCCGATATTTATCCCCGGGATATATCGAAAAAAAAAATCGTAAAACGTATTCTATCGCGAGAATAAGAACGTGATAGAATTCGCAGACCCCTGTTTAATATTCGCAGAAATTAAGTTAAGGGTCCTCCCGATTCGAAATTCACGTTTCTCGTATCCGATCTCGTTTGGGCTTTGCGTACTTTTCTTTTTCGAACCTTGCCGGTCTTTCGCGGTTTCGACGCGTTACAGCTCGCCTCGTCGTGAGAATAAGGGCGCACCCGGGATTTACCTGCGTCGTCGAGAGGATCGATGAGGAGCGTACTCCGCTCCGCCTCCACGCGCTGCGCCGCGCTCAGCTCAGCTCCGCTCCGTATACCGGTTTTCTCACCGGATAAACGGCCAATTATTAGCGGGATGTTTTCTCAGACACCTATTCTTTTTTTTTTTCTATCGAACGCTCGCTGCTTCCAAGGAAAAGCCGCTCGTACCGGCGACACCGAAAACGTGACGTGCGCTTCCCTGCAACCCCGCTGTAACTGGCGGATTTTCACTATGACGACGCGTACCTGACGACTAGACGACCAGTGACGTAACTAGAGCGCAGGGGCGTCTATTTGAGTGCGCCCTTCTTCTTTCGCCCTTACCTTAAATCTTTGTCCCATCCACACACGAGAGATACATGCAAATTTATGTTGTTGGAAATATAATTAAAATTCTCGCAAATCAACGAATATCATAGATACGTTTCAAGTCTCTTTTAGTTAATTTCAAGTTAATTTTTTCACGAAGCTTTGGTAGCGTCTAAGGAACTAACTAAAATAATTTCGTATCCTAAAGAGTAACATTTTCTTTTTTTATAGACATCTTAAGAGAATGTTATAGTTATTAGAATAATTGAAGATATCTCTAGGGAAAAAATCTGATGATCGCAAACATCTAGGATGTAACTAAGACGTAACATTAAGGGCCACTTTTACCAAGCTCAGTTAGCTTAACCAACCTAGTAACTGTAATGAAATAGAAAGAGATAGAAATAGTTCTATCTCTTTCTATTTCATTTATAGTTACTAGGCTGGTTGAGTAAACCGACGATCGTGAAAGTGGCCCTAATTGGATTTGTAAGTAATTTTGATATTTTTGATATATTTACTTTGATATCTCAAAACACCTTGTATATTTCGTTTTGTCCATTCTTTTGTTTGTGAATTGAACGTAGTCGTCATGGTGGGTTTTGAATGAAACAGCTGACACGCCGGCGCAATCTGCGTACGCAGCGAACAATCATTGGCTGTTCCTAGTTCCTATACGACCGTCGAAGTTGTCCACGAACATCAGCGTTGGAAATGTAGTGTTGGGTCATCAATATCACCTAATGCCGTATTATCTAATCTTTTTGCACGACTTTCGTTCAATAATGATTGATTTCGAAGATAGATAAATACTGTAAAAAAATGTGAAAAAGAATGTTTGATTTATTTTTTTATGAAGCAAACAAATTCAGGCATTATATATTTTGAAAGAATTTTAGAATTGAGTGATGTAAATGTTTGATGAATTCAAAGACGCAAAAGTAAAGTCGCAAAGATTCAAAAATTAAGAAATTAAAAATGGTATAATTGTGGTTTATACATCAATTCAAGAAATTTTATAATTATTACCGAATATGTAATATATAAAGTTAAATAGCAAAATGTGATTTTGAAGAATTAAAAAATTCGACAATTTTAAAGTTGATTGATTTGATGAAAAGGATAGGCGACTGAAGCAAACATTTAAATATCGATAAACAAAAAATATCACAGTTAGTCAATATATAAATGTTCTAAGAAATTTATAATTGTTAACAAAAAGCATATAAAATTGAATATACATATTAAAAATATATATGATATTGTGGAATTGAAGAATTTGGAAATTTTAGAATTGAATCGTTCAAACGTTTGATAAATTGAAGGACTTCTTAAAACTGAAATTCGCGTAAATCGAAAACTCAAAAATACCATTAAATTAAGATTTATATATATTTGTCAAGAAATTCGTAATTACTATTGAATATATATAATATAAAACCGAAAGTATAGAAAAATATTATGAAATCGAAGAATTTGAAAATTGTATACAGAGTTGAGCGACAAATTCGAGGACGCTCAAAGTTCGCGAAGATTCATAGATTGAGAAATTAAAAATATAAAGAGATTGAAAGATCCGAACATTCCAAAGTGCCTTTAGCGCCATTGTTACAAAGCTACAAAAATGTCAAAAGCATACGTCTTTTGTTTGTTCGACTCCTCGAAGATACTAGATACGGCATTGCTCTTTTAATCACAACGGCGCAGGCGTCGAAGAAGCTGCCTTATCAACCGAGATGACATCTCAACGCAGGGTCTCGCCTTGGCCGCGTTCGAGGAGTCGTCGCGTGAAAATGCCGGGGAACACCTTGCGGCCGCACGATCGTCGCGTGTGATCGTTCGCAGCATGTGAACCCCCGCGAGTACACCTACAATTGGAGCACCTATCGGCGATCGGGAAGCTTATTGGGGAATCGGTAAGTTGGCGATCGATTGGTGTGTTTTGACGAGTGCGTACAATCGAGAGACAAATCTACTGCATGTCTGGCGAACGGCAGAAAATTGTCAACGAATTGCGAAACGGCGCGCGTAATCGTCATGGTAAGTCGTTGAGCTATTTTATAGCCTGTACTCCGGTGATCAATGATGATGGACAGTAGCGTACGAAAGAATTAGAGAAGGGAACGGGATGAAGAAAACAAGTATTAAGAGGAAGGAGAAAGGCACGTGTGAAAAATATTTAGAGAGGATTTTTGATGCAGAGACTGTTCCTTCTCTCTTTTTTCTCTTTCTTTCTTGGAAATGTTTTCCCGCGTGAGCGTTTTAGCCATAGTTGTTATATATACATATTTTTCTTTGTATCAATTTATCAATTTATTAATTTATTAATTAAAAATATTAATAAACATTATTGATAACCCTTAGAAAAATTTAATATTCCAAGTATTAAATTAGTTAGTGATTAATTATTTCTTTTGAGTATTAAAAATAATATTGTTAATATATATTTTTAATATTAAAAAAAGTAATTAATTATTAACCAATTTATTACACTACACAGTATTAAATTTCTCGAAAGAAAACCGGGAAGATAAATAAGATAAAATCGGATAAAATAATTCTATTGTGTTTACCGATAAAATTGTCTGTTCCATCGGTTGGAAGATTTTGTGATGTTAGAAATCATAATTGTAAGTGCGCATAAGATGATGCTAACTTCATATTACGATTTTCCAAATAATTTCAAAAGATTCCTTTACTTATTCTCTCAATTACTTTAATATTTAAGTTATTTCATGTATCATATGGGATAGAACTTCGGTGAAATTGAATCTACTTACTACTTAGAAAACGTAGTATTTGTGAGACAGAGCGTCATTAGTTAACTTGTAATATAATTAATTTATAACATAATGTGATTTATAATAGCATTGCTTAGGACAAGTCTAGGAATTATAATTTATTTCACGGATGCTGCTGCGTACATCTCAGACGATTAGTCATCGTCAGAATTGTTCATATTCATGGATTCACAGATACTTGACTTCATGAATTCAAAATCCATTGACCTTTGTATTTGCATATCCTTGAGTTAAATCTTTGATCTTTAGATCTACTAGATTGTTTTATAATGGTTTTAACTCCATAAAATTGATAAATCACTTGTTTGAATTTAGAAACATTACATAAATAAAACCACTTTTGTATTATTATTCAAAAAGTATATTATTATGTAATTAGCAAGTTTTATTTTTAGGGAGTTTTTGCTAGTTTGATCTTCATTATGTATGTGATTATGCGGCGTGTTTTATTTTATTGCAGATAGTTTTATGGATAGCTCTTCAAATATTATAATATCATATTTTCAATTGTTTTTATCTTACTTTTCATTCAAATAAACTTTCTGTTAAATAATCTTGTGCATTTTTAATTGTATCATTAATTGTAAATATAGTACAATAAGATTATCTCATACAAATTTATTAAATATAATTTGAAGTTGTTACTATCAGTTATAGAATTTTTTTTAGTCGCTGTGATTAATAGAAATTTTGGATTTATAAATCTTCGATTATTAGTCGCAGTTTGTCGTAGTTTTAATTTTGTTTTCGCTGATACAAACTTAGAGCAATTTGACTGAAGAAGATAGTTTATTACTTTTAACGTGCGTTCTAATCTGCCCCTGTCGTTACTTCGAAAACAAATGTTTTCCAATCGCGCAATCATCACGCTTTTCGCTTTTCACACTCGGGACTCGTTTTGACATTTGCGATTAATGCTCCACTTTATGGAAAATGTCGCGCCCGTGGCATCTAGTGCAAATAACCGCACTCGTGTCTCGTTATTATTTTACTCCAGTTGACGATAACAGAGGACATCACAATATTGACGTCATTTCGGTTGAACGAGATTAAACTTTTAGTATCTCTTTCTCTCTCTTTAAGAGACGTCATAAATGACGTCAGACATTTGGAAAATCGATTAAGTATAGGCTCGTCCCAATTTTCAACAGGAAAGTTTAATAATAGCCTAGTAATGGAGAGATGATAACGAGATTCCAAGATAAAGAATAATAGGATTTATTTCCTTATCTATTTCTTTATCCACCTATCTATGCAAAAGAGTATGATTGCATTAATTCTGATTAAAAATAGATAAATTAGAATTTTCCAGTTGAATCTATTATAATTTTAGTTGATATAACCTGAATTCTAATTGATGTGATCAGAATGTTCTGGCTCATTCATTTTCAACCAGAAATTTTTTTGAGTGCATTCATGTATATTAATCAATTTCTTTTCTTTTTTTTTCTATCTTTATCAAATATTCTATTTTTTAGTTTTATTGTCCTAAAAATATTCTATTCGTTAAAACAAATAAATCTAAAGAAAAAGAAATAGTTTTATATCAGCGCTTATAAAAAAAAAATCGCTTGTGAGTGATGGAAACACTTACAGAGAAAGCTCGTTGAAGAAAAAGTGCTACTTTAGTACTTTCAATTATTCATTCCATCTGTTTAATTATGCGATATCGCAAGCCTGTTGTTATATTGCGATTAATGGAGATATACCGTATATATCTATACAACGCGGCCTCGGAGAATCTCGCGTGCCGAGCGACGCAATTAGGTTTGCGCAGCTGAATGATGGGCTATGATAAACCGCATATGTCCACTACTAATTATGATCTACAATAATTAGAAATTGAGACTCAAGAAACGTGGTCGATTTATTTTCCGACAATGTTCGTGCTTCGAAACGAGAACTCTCTTAGTGGTTAATAATAAGTACGTGACGAGAATAAATGCAGAAGATGCTTTTAAGATTGAGCATGCATTAGGATTGAAGAAAAAAATTTCGAAAAATTACCTAACGTTTATCTCTCATTGATATATAAGTCTCATAAATTTATAAATTAATATAAATTTGCTTAATTTCTTGCTTCGCAGAACTTCGCCTCTATGAACTTTTTTATTTTAAGGACTTTTCCAATAAGTTGTTAACTTCATTTTATATTTCTCTGTTTTCAACTTGATTTAATTCTTTAGGTTTATACGTATTCAGAATTTTTCTTTCTATTTTCAGAGCTTTGTTCTCGTGAAACTTCCAACTCTCTGAATCCATTGTTTCGAATATTTTTTTTAAATGATCTCTTGATTCTGCAAACTGTTGAATACATCACACGATTTAATAAATAATCTTTAGTATAAAAAATAAATTTATATTATATACACACGCGTTGTAATGAGTTCTCTTATTTTTTATAGCTACATGTATAATACGTCGTACATTTGATGGACGAATGAATAATATCATCTCTCAAAAAATGGAAACTTTAAATTTTAACACGTATATTGAAAATGTATAGATATCATTTGCCTTAAAAATATAAACAATATTTTAGTAATGATTTAATTAATAATCAAAAAACAATAAATCAAGATTTATAAATATAAATGACAAAATCGTATTTTGGAATTAATTTTGAGCAGATCTTATACCAAGTATCTTGATAGATATGTTTAAAATTAGAATAATGACCATAATCTTTAATTATTTGACAGTAAAATTTTAAAAGGTATGAAAAATATAATACAAATTTTAATTCATCTCTTACTTTTCGTTGAAAAAGAATCGTTCTTTTGTCAAATGTGCACTATGAAGTCTTCTATATACTTGATTTTAAGGAAGAATAAAGTAAATGTAAAGCAGAAATCTTTTTTATGCTGCAATGATAGTTGCAAACATCTTCATATTACAATAAAGCAGTACAAGTCGCTTTTTGAGAATTCTAATGGCAAAGGAGACATTTATACATTTTTTAAGCGATATATGAAATCATGGTACTTATGCATTTGGAATATTTTTGCGCTGTTTGCGTGTATTTTTATTTGCAAATACTGCGACGAAAACACAAGGGGGAGGGAAGGATGCATTACGTTTATTACGAAATCATGGTACTTATGCATTTGGAATATTTTTGCGCTGTTTGCGTGTATTTTTATTTGCAAATACTGCGACGAAAACACAAGGGGGAGGGAAGGATGCATTACGTTTATTACGAAATCATGGTACTTATGCATTTGGAATATTTTTGCGCTGTTTGCGTGTATTTTTATTTGCAAATACTGCGACGAAAACACAAGGGGGAGGGAAGGATGCATTACGTTTATTACGAAATCATGGTACTTATGCATTTGGAATATTTTTGCGCTGTTTGCGTGTATTTTTATTTGCAAATACTGCGACGAAAACACAAGGGGGAGGGAAGGATGCATTACGTTTATTACGAAATCATGGTACTTATGCATTTGGAATATTTTTGCGCTGTTTGCGTGTATTTTTATTTGCAAATACTGCGACGAAAACACAAGGGGGAGGGAAGGATGCATTACGTTTAATTACTGGAAAGATCAAGGAATATGAAATAAAGAAAAAAAAGGAAGTGAAGGAGATTAACGAACATCAAGGTCTTAACCTTTTACGAGGCAAAAACTCATTTGTAGTTCAGCAAATTAGTACGTAGATCTTTTATGCGTCGTACACATTTCGGCCGGATGTTGAGTCACACCGGGAGTGTGCCTACTCTCGGAGGGTGAAAAGGAAACTTCGACCCGCCCTTTTGAAATGTCAAAGGTTGCCGCGCAAGTCGCATCGACGTACCCCCGTTTCCCAGGAAAGCAGCCCCGTGCGAATCTGGCAGCATTGTCTCTACTCGTTCACGGGATAATTCGCTATCATCCACGAGAAAGTAAATAAGTAGAAAAATAATATTTCGGATGTTTGTTTAAAAAATATTAATACGGATCTCAATAACAATCTCAAGATCAATAATAATGCGCTCTGATTTGGGACACATATTCATACATATTTATCAATAAAACAAATAAACATCGACGAGGCGTAAACGGGAAGGAAATCATGCATAATTCATGATGGATTTCCATTCCGTCGAAAATCAAGTTTACGAAGTTTAA